GCCACTTCTTGGTTTTCTCTTTGTAGAGGCTTGCACTTTCATAAGCGGACAATCTGAATTCGTCTAACTCATCCAGTTGTAACAGTCTCTTTTCGCTTGCCGCTTTTGTGTCAAAATTTAAGAACTTGACAGCCCACAAAGCCTTGTGTTCCATCTCCACCGGTAAGTGACAAGCCTTCCCGAACAACATTTGAAACGGTGACATTCCTATTGGTGTCTTGAACGCAGTCCGGTATGCCCATAGTGCATCATCTAGCTTGCGAGCCCAGTCTTTCCGGGAGCTTCCCACTGTTTTCTCAAGGATACGTTTCAGTTCCCGGTTTGATATCTCCACTTGCCCACTGGTTTGTGGATGATATGGTGTGGTAATGCGGTGTCTGACGCTGTATTTCGCAAGCACATATTCAACTTGTCTGTTGCAGAAATGTGTGCCTCTGTCGCTAATCATTGCTCTTGGTACTCCATACCACACGAAAATATTTTTCTTGATGAAGTTGATCACGACTCTAGAATCATTGGTAGGCAACGCAGCTGCTTCCACCCATTTAGAGACGTAATCCACCGCCACCAATATATATTTATTCCCGTATGAAGTGGGGAAGGGCCCCATGAAGTCAATGCTCCAAACGTCGAAGATTTCAACTTCCATGATGTTGTTCAGTGGCATTTCATGTCTTTTTGATATATTCCCCGTTCTTTGGCAACGATCACAAGATTCTACGAATTTTCTGGCATCTTTATATAAAGTGGGCCAATAGAATCCACTCATAAGAACTTTTGCAGCCGTCCTTTCTCCCGCGAAGTGGCCTCCGTAGTCTGAACCGTGACAGTGCCATAGAACATATTTCATCTCTTCTTCAAGGATGCATCTTCTAATGACTCCATCAGAACATGTGTAGAATAGGAATGGTTCATCCCACAAGTATCTTTTTCACATCGCGGAGAAACTTTTTCCGTTGTTGCCATGAAAAATCTTTAGGAATCGTCCCAGCTGCTTTGAAATTTGCAAAGTCTGCAAACCATGGTGCGGTGTCTACTGCAAGAGCTTGCTCATTCATAAACCATGGTAGTGTGCTGACTGAGAGAACTTGCTCATCTGGAAACTCATATCGGATTATCAATTCTGAACTATCTTGAAGTTCTTTCTCTTGAAGTCTAGAGAGATGATTAGCTACCCGGTTTTCTACTCCCTTCTTGTCTCTGATTTCTATCTCAAATTCTTGAAGTAGAAGCATCCACCTAAGTAGTCTCGGCTTAGCATCCTGTTTAGTCAATAAGTATTTCAAGGCAGCATGGTCAGTATACACAATAACTTTAGATCCTAGTAAATAGGTTCTAAATTTATCAAAAGCATATATAACAGCTAGTAATTCTTTCTCAGTAGTAGTATAATTTAATTGTGCTTCATTTAGAATTTTACTAGCATAATATATAACATGCAAGAGTTTATCTTTTCTTTGACCTAAGACTGCACCTACAGCATAATCACTAGCATCACACATTAATTCAAAAGGTAATTCAAAATTCGGTGAAGTGATAATAGGTGCGGTAGTCAATTTTTCTTTCAAAAGATTAAAAGAAATCAAACAATCATTGTCAAAGTTGAACTCTTCTTCTTTGGCCAATAATTTGCAGAGGGGTTTGGCTATCTTTGAGAAATCTCTGATGAAACGCCGATAGAAACCTGCATGTCCAAGAAAGCTACGCACACCACGCACATTAGAGGGAGGAGGAAGTTTTTCTATAAGTGAAATTTTTGCTCTATCAACTTCAATTCCCTTCTCAGAGATCTTATGGCCTAAGACTATTCCATCTCTTACCATAAAGTGGCATTTTTCCCAGTTGAGTACTAAATTACTCTCTTGGCATCTCTGCAAAACACAAGCTAAGTTAGTGAGGCAAACATCAAAAGATGAACCGAAGACAGAAAAATAATCCATAAATATTTCAATAAAATGTTAAATCATATCAGAGAATATGGATAACATACACCTTTGAAATGTGGCGGGTGCATTGCATAACCCGAAGGGCATACGTCTGTAGGCAAACACACCGTAGAGACAGGTGAAGGCTGTCTTTTCTTGATCTTCTGGAGCAACCGCTATCTGATTATATCCGGAATAGCCGTCGAGGAAACAATAATACGAGTGTCCCGCTAGCCTCTCCAACATTTGATCTAAGAATGGTAGAGGAAAGTGATCTTTTCTTGTAGCGGCATTTAGTCTCCTGTAGTCGACGCACATTCTCTAGCCGGTGATAGTTCTTGTAGGAATTAACTCATTGTTTTCATTACGTACCACTGTGATCCCACCTTTCTTTGGAACTGTTTGTACCGGACTCACCCATGCACTATCAGAAATTGGATAGATTATACCAGCATCCAAGAGCTTCACGACTTCTTTTCTCACAACTTCTTTCATAGTTGGATTCAATCTTCTCTGTGGTTGTCTGACTGGCTTCACATCATTCTCCATCAATATTTTATGAGTGCAAAAGGATGGGTTTATTCCCTTCAAGTCTGTAATAGACCATCCTATAGCTGTTCTGTGCTCTCTCAACACTTTCAATAATTTTTCTTCTTCTGCGATTGACAAATTTATGTTGATGATCACCGGGTATGTCTTGCTTTCTCCAAGAAATGCATATTCCAAAGTAAGAGGAAGCTCTTTCAATTCAACCTTTGGTGCTCCTTGAATAATATCATCAACTTTCTCTTCCAGCTTTTCAACCTCTTGTTCTCCTTCTGTTGCTTCAGTGGTATTGTGCAGTAGATCTTCTTCTAATGACTCCAATTCCATCAGTGGTTGGAGTATTTCATCAACTGTATCTAGCACTGCATCATTGATCACATCAACCTCGAAGCAATCTCCTCCGTCGGAAGGATGTTTCATAGATTCAAGAACATCAATCGTTACGGTTTCATCATTAACCCGCAACATCAGCTTACCCTGCTCCACATCAATCATAGCCCTTGCGGTGGCTAAGAAGGGTCTTCCCAACAGTAATGGGATTTCAGCATCTTCTTTCATGTCTAAGATGACAAAGTCTGCAGGGAATATGAATTTATCAATTTTTACCAAAATATCTTCAATGACTCCATCTGGCCTTCTGGTAGATCTGTCAGCTAACTGTAGTGAAACTTTTGTTGGTTTCAGTTCATGAATACCCAGAGCCTTGCAGATGGATAATGGCATAAGGTTTATACTGGCTCCTAAGTCACATAACGCTTTTCCCACATTAATGTTACCAATTTCTATGGGAATGCTGAAACTTCCAGGATCTTGGAGTTTCGGAGGTAACTTTTTCTGAATTATAGCACTGCACTCTTCTGTCAAGGTCACGGTCTCACACTCCTTCAATTTACGCTTCCGTGATAGAAGATCTTTCATAAACTTTGCGTAATTTGGCATGTTCTCCAAGGCTTCAGCAAATGGAATATTGATTTGTAGCTTTTTGAAGATGTCAAGGAACTTCGAATACTGCTGCTTTTTGATTTCTTCTCTGAACCTCTGGGGATACGGAATTTTTTCATAAGGTGAGAGCTCCAATGGCTTTTCTTGTCTTTCTTGAGCTTTCTTTTTCTCCCATTTGAACTCTTTCTTCTCAGGAACAACTTTCTCTGCAGCAGGCTCTTTGTCAACTTCCTTCTCTTTTTCTTCTTCAGTGGCAGGTCCCTCAGCTTTCTTTTTCTCTATTGAAGGCTTAATCACAGGTTCAATTACAATGCCACTTCCAGTGGTAATACCCTTGCAGTGTGCGTTTGGATTAACGTCTGTATTACTTGGGAAAGTGCCTTGGGTTCTTTCATTGAACTGCCTTGACAATTGACCAATCTAAGTTTCAAGATTCCGGATAGAGGCTTCTTGATTCCGGAATGAGGCCCTGGTCTCTTGCATAAAGGTTGAAGTGTCTTCTCTGAAAGCATTGGTACTTTGAACGTAGTCTGATGTGGTCTTGGATAGTTGTGCAAAGGTCTTCTCCCACTCTGATTGTTGTGGAGGTTGCTGTGGTACTGGCATAGAAGGATTCAGCTGATGATTCGAACTATAACTGAATCCCGGGTGTTGATTTTGATTTTTATGTCTCCACCTTTGATTCTGGTTATTGCCGTATTGGTTCCTCCCTGGATTATATGGAACTTTCTGATCATGTCAAATTCCATTAACATCTGCAGTCTCGGGTGCCTTGCAGTCATCAGTAGCATGAGCACCTGCACAAATATCATAAACAATAGAAGAAGTATTAACAGAAGCTACTGGAGTATTAACAGAAGAAACTTGAAAATCAGAAAATTGCTTTGTGAGAGCATCTAGTTGTTGTTGTTGTTTCTTATTAAACTGTAGAATCTGATCATTCTGGGCCAGGATGGCATCATAGCCATCAAGCTTCATAATCCCCGCTCTTCTCTGTGGTACGGGAGCATTATCATACTCCTGAGAGGCTAAAGACTCTAATAATTCCAAGGCTTCCTCTGGAGTTTTTGTTTTCAAGGACCCTCCTGATGCAGCATTCACCAATGTTCTTGTGTTGGGCTTCATCCCTTGGAAGAAAGTTCTCGCTTGTTCCCAGGCTTCAATGCCATGTTGGGGACACTTCCTGAGCAGTCCTTTGAATCTTTCCCATGCTTCATATCGAGATTCACTTTCTTTTTGTTCAAAAGAAGTGATATCCGCTTGAGCTTTGCCATTTTCGAAGACGAGAAAAATTTGTCCAAAAATTTGGTTGCCAAGTCGTCCCAGTGAGTGATGCTTCCTTGAGGTAACGATTGCAGCCATCCTCTTGCTTCGTCTTTAAGTGAACATGGGAACAATCTGAGCAAAATAGCATCCCGAGACACCCCATTCATCTTCAAGGTATCACAATATAGCAAGAAGTTTTCCAGATGGATGTAAGGGTCTTCTGTGCTTCCTCCGGCAAATTGGTCTTTCTGAATTAATTCTAAAAGTGCCGGCTTGAGTTCAAAGTTGTTAGCATCCACGTTTGGTCTAAAAATACTCGCCGTCTGTGGAACTCGAGCAGGAGTCATGTAATCTCCCAACGTTCTCGGAGGTGGTGGAGGTACATTGTTGTCTCCCATTGCTTCTTTTCTTGGTTCTGTTGAGCTTGAAGCTTCTTTCTCTTGTTGTCTTCTTTCTTTAGCAAGTTTTCTGTTTCTTTTTGCTGTTTTCTCTATCTCCGGGTCGAATTGCAAGGAATCGGTGTCAACGGTACCTCGCATAAACCAGAAAAATAGATAATATAAAATAAAAAAAATAAAAAATAAAACTGAATTTAAATAACAGAAAATTAAATAACAGAAAATAAGGTCCAATCTAAAGAATTAATAGCTACTATTAATGTTGAAATAGTAATCCCCGGCAACGGCGCCAAAAACTTGTTGCTACTCACGGCAAGTGCACCGATCGTACAAGTAATATATGATTAAGTAGGAGATCGTTCCCACGAGGATTACGGTTCAAGCACCAATTCACTTTCGCAACTTAAGTTGGACAATCAAAGTTGTATTCGGAAACAGGATTTGGATTGCAAAATTGAAGTTATTAAATATTAAAGCTAACTACTCGCAAGAATTAAAAACAAGAAGGTAAAAATTTGATTGAACTAATAAAATAAAAATGTAGTTAGGGGTTCGATTTCCTTTAATCTCCTTATTATGATTCGAAGTCCTTCTTTACGTTAACCGTCCTTAATATCAATCTAACCAATTCTTTCGCGTGTTATTAGAGCTCAATCCCTTGTTACCCTAAAGCCTTTACAAACTTGGAAGAACCCTAGTTCCCCGGTTATTCCCCAAGAATTCAAGCATTAAGTTCAAGAATCTTAAGGTTACGCAAATTCTATGTCTATCCCTAGAATCATAGCGTTTACGATGAAGTTATCAGATATGGATCACACACCAACATCCCTATTGTCATGCATTTACCGATGATCATTATATAAGATTCAAGCCTATATAAAGCATTAAAATCAGATAACTTCATTCATGATAAAAAGGAGAATTAACGTACGAATTGTTCAAAGTATAATAAATCGACTAAAATCCATGTAACCCTAACTACTTAAAGAACTAGCCGGACATAGCAAAATCAAGAACAAAAGAAAATAGAAAAGCTCCCCCAAACTCCATAGATAATTGGTGGATCTTCAATATCTCCAGTGAACACTTGACGTTGATCCGTCTCCGCCGCTCACGAACATGAATCTGATGTTCCTCCGCGTTCCTTCAGCCTCCAAGCACCCAAGAGTTGTTTAGCAATGTAAAAGTTGTGTATTTCTGGTCCCCAATGGCCCTTTTATTGGCCAAGAGTTCGTATCCTAGTAGAAAACTCGAATGGGCCTAAGTTGGATCTGTCTGGGCGCTTAAGCCTGTTGTAGCGCGCTTAAGCGCCCTAGGACAGTGAATTCTGACTCGCGTTACGCGCTGAAGCGCTCTGGAGGGCGCTTAAGCGCGCTCCTCGCGACAACATTTTCTTCTTGTGGCGCGCTTAAGCCTTGAGTTGGGGGCTTAAGCGCCCAGAGGCAGTAGCTATTTGCGTTTTTAGGGAGCTTAAGCTTCTGAATGCGGGCTTAAGCTCCCACTTCTAACAACTTGATAAGATCTTCAATCTTATTGTTTTCACCTTGATTCATCTTCTTTTCTGATTTGATATCTCTTTATCTAAATCTTCATATTTGAATCATTTGTTATCAAATCCCTTTAAAAATAACAAATATATTAATTAGTTCCAACAATCAGATAATGTTCATGATTATCATTTTAAAACCCTAATTTTTGACTTGTTCAACTAGATAATTCATATTATTTTAGTCCATTAAACAAGATAAACTAAAGGTTTATCACCTATCCAATACATGATTTTTTATCCTATGGAGAAGCTGAGTTAGGATTCAATAGTATCGGATACCAATATTGGATACTCAATATATTCTCACGCTACTCAATATATCTTCACGCTACCTAATATATTTGTATTTATTGCATTATATTTTGTTTTTTCTTTCTCCTTTCTCTTTCTACATAATCTTATCAGATTGCTAATCAGGTGCTCGTCAAACACAAGACATGATATAGGCTTATCAGCCTCCATATCATATCCTACCCTTATCAGCCCCATATCATATCCTACCTTTATCTTATCATGTCCACCAAAGGAGCCCATAAAGTCTTTAAGTTACAATGCCTAATTTTTTTATAAAATGGTGGTAGCTCAGTTGATAATAAGGGAATTGAGTAAGTGGAAAGAGAATTGTCTCGGTTCAATCCCCACTTTTGGAAAATGTTTAAATATTTTTGTCTCTTACTCGCTCCGCACTTCAGATTAGTCCCATAGCCGGCTTAAAGACTATTTGTCTCAAGGAGATAATTAGGGTTGGCTAAAAAAAAAAATACTACATTATTTAATCCACATTAATATTGGATTAACATTAATGAAGAATAAATTACTAATTTATTTTGTTAGAAATAAAATCTTTCACCGGAAATAAAAAGCAAAACTTGATGAAGAATTGTTTAGAATGTAGTGGCCTAAAATTCATAGATACTTAAATTTTTCTTGTCTTTTCTAGCAATTAGTGAAATGCACAGTTTGAGAAATATTTATATATATATATATATATATATATATATATATATATATATATATACATATAGGGGCAGGATCATCTTACACCGGTGTAAGAATAATAAATCTTACACCAAATCTTAATCATTGATTTTCTACATCTAACGGTTAAGATTTATTAGGTCTCACTCATTAATTAATTTTTAATTCCCAATAAATCTCAACTATTGGATGCGCGAAAATCAACGGTTAAGATTTGATGTAAGATTTATTATTCTTACACCGGTGTAAGTTGATCTTATCCCATATATATATATATATATATATATATATATATATGTATATATATATATATATAATGGGAGAAATGCTTTGTATTTTGTTTCTTCTTGAGATTGTCTGCTGCCTACTTGGCTCATTCCTTACTGTAATCAATGTTAAAGAAAATAAAAATAAAAACTCAAACTAAATAAAAAAATAAATAAATAAATTGTCTTACACATTTTCTTTTACTTTTTGAAATCAGGTTTTACATGCTAAACTTTTATTATAGATGGAATAACCTCTACTTTTCTTTAATTATTCAGCTTCAAAATCTTGTTACTACCAATAAATTAGCATGTTAACAGAGAGCATATGGAATTGCTTCTAATTGAAAAAAATATTTACTAATAATAATAATAATAATAAATCACTCAGTATACCTATACTCTCGTAATAGCAAAATAAATAAATAAATGAATTCCATATTTATAGTAGGTAGTAATAAAAAAAAAGGATTTCAAGTTTGGTTAATCCAATTTTAAATGTCCAAAATCACAGTTGAAAAATCAAGACTTACTAACAATAAATATTAGATAATAGTAAAGAGTAGTAGCTCAAATACCATGAAGTCCTCTTTAAAGACTGTTTAATAACGTGATGAAATTCTAATTCAATCACTTTGATTGTCATTTAACTTACCAAATTACCATTCACCACTTTACATTAAGTTGTATCTTTTAGTAAATACTGTTTTTGCAAATATTTTTTTTGGAAATAACAGGAAAATTAAAACAAAAACACAACAAAAAGAAACTAGGCACAAAGCCTAGACCAGTGAACACCTATAGTGTCACCATACAGACGATCAATACAACCTGACAGTGGACTATCATCTTGTGGCCTGGAAGCAGATCTGCAAGGATAAAAAAAAATGGAGGCCTTGGACTGTGGAGTATGAGGGAAATGAACTCAGCATTTATCATGAAGGTTGGGTTCAACCTTGTAGCTCATCCAGATGCCTTGTGGTCAAAGTTCTTACGTGCTAAGTACAATGTGGAGGAAGGCATGACGCCAATTATTCATGCTCCAAACAACAGCTCCCAACTTTGGAAGGGAATTACGCGTAATTGGGATATTATAATGGATCATAGTCGGGTGCAGTTAGGCAATGGTCAGTCCACTATGTTCTGGCTTGATAGCTGGCTGCCCGATTGTGGTCCTTTGATCTCATATGCAGGTTCTCAGTTTTCTGTTAGTGATACTCTTCAGAAGGTGGTGGACTACGTGGATGAATTGGGGCAATGGAAATGGAATTCTCTTCGACAATTGCTTCCAGATTCTGTGCTGCATCGATTTATGAATTTTCTTCCTCCTTCTAGTCAAGATGGCCAGGATCATTTAATTTGGAATGGAACGACAGATGGCAAGTTTACTGTTAAGTCAGCATATGCAATATTAGCCATCAATGATACTACAATCCAACAGTTTCCTTGGGAAAGTGTTTGGAGATGGCAGGGGCCGGAAAGAATTCGCTTTTTTCTTTGGTTAATGGCAGGGGAGAAGCTGATGACTAATGTTTGTAGACTCTGCCGTCATATGGCTCTTTCAGATCTGTGTCCTAGATGTAATCAGTCCAGTGAAACTATCCTTCATACTATTCGCGACTGTCCACAATCAAAGGAAGTATGGTGCATGATAATGCCTCATATAAA